TAAATGTATATTAAAAAAATATAAATTACAAAACACAGCACAGAATTCACATAAAATATGTCCAAAAGTGTGTTGAACTTGGGTTGTGTCAGTGTTTTTCGTATTAGGGATTTCAGGACAAGCAGAGAAGGAATCTTGGGAATGGTGAATTCATCAAAACCAGTTGGAAAATTCAGTTTTGGTGTGTCCTTAGGCATCTCAGTATTCCTTTGGTTGGGATTTTGGACATAGGGGCATTTCCATATTCATGTAAAATGAATTTGAATAAAATATCTATTGCCTTTGGCAATTAAAATCAATAAAAATCTCCCATGATGAAAGGCACTGCAGGAGCAGGGGTGCTGTTCTTAGCATTAAAGTTAAATCCCTGCATTTCTCCTTCCTCTGGCAGATGCAGAACAACCAGCTGGTACCAAACCTCTCTTCATGAATGGTGCCTCCTCTTCCTCCTCCACTTCCTCATTTCTAATGTCCCCAGGAGCTTTCCCACTTGCTGCATTCCCTGAGTGCAGGTAAGTTAGACATTTGTACCCTCTCTCTTCATTTCTGTCCTTCAAATTGCCTCCCTTTCTTCTGTCCTCATCACAGAATGTAACCTTTGTCCCAGCTCCTGTGCTTGTCTCTTGGGTGATTCTTAGTCCTGGGAAAGGCAGGTAGGGCAAGTTGAAAGCAAAACTCAACATCTCCTTCCGCTGGTTCATGGTGCAGTGAATCCTTCTGCACAGCCATAACCTCACTGCTGCTGGCTTCCTCTGGCTCTTCCTTCATTTTCAAATGGTTGTAAGAAACCCTCAGGGTTTTTTTTTTTTCTCAGATGTTGCAACTGCAATGATTCCACCCTTGGGGCTTCTGCTGATAATCCTTTTCCATAGAATTCCGGGATGATTTGGGTTGGTAGGGAACTTAGGGACCATCCAGTGCAGTCCCCTTCCCATGGGCAGGGACACCTTCCACTATCCCAGGTCTCTCCAAACCCCATCCAGCCTGTGCTTGAGTATTTTCAGGGATGGAGCAGCAGCTTTGAATCCCATAATCCCAGAATGGTTTGGGTTGAGAGGAGACTTTGGAAATCATCCACCCCTGCTATGGGCACCTTCCACTATCCCAGGTTGCTCCAAACCCCATCCAACCTTTCCTTGGACACCTCCAGGGGATGGAGCAGCAGGCAAAAAGCAGCTTGCATCACAGAATGGTTTGGGTTGGACGGGAACTTAGAGATCCCATCCCACCACCGTGCAGGGACACCTTCCACTAGATCCACATTCCACCCACCTTCCCTCCACCGCAATTCCCCTCAGGGAGCCCCAGCCTTGCTCCAGGCAGGAATTGTGCGCGTGCTGTGGTGCGTGGCCGCGCTGACCCGTGTCCCCGCAGGGCCCCGCTGTACCTGTACCGCCTGATGGCCGTGGTGGTGCACCACGGGGACATGCACTCGGGACACTTCGTCACCTTCCGGCGCGCGCCGGGCGCCCGCGGCAGCCAGTGGCTCTGGATCTCGGACGAATCCGTGCGCAGGGCCAGCCTGCACGAGGTGCTGGCTGCCAGCGCCTACCTGCTGTTCTACGAGCGCGTGCACGGCCGGGCCCAGCCCCAGAGCTGAGCCGGGAGCGCCGGCATCGTCCCGAGCCCTCGGATCGCGCCTCTCCGTTATGCAAACTTCCCCCTCTCCCCAGGCTCCCTTCCCCGTGGGAGCAGCTGGGAATTGGGGTTTGTACCCAAATCCTGCTGTCCCAGCCCGTGCAGCCCTGGGTGTGTGTTGAGAAGCGTTTTCCTGCCTTGTCCCAAGGCTCTGTTCCATGTCCTTTTCCCAGGGAGATGCTTTACCCCACGCATTTCGTTTCCCAAGGGCCTGGAGAGGGGTTGTGATGTCAAGCTGCTGTTGAAGAGCCCATCCCAATCCCTCCCCTGGCACCTCTCCATTATGCACCAGCCCCATTCCCTGTGGCAATGGCTGGGAATTGTGTTTTGTACCAGAATTCCTGGAGCTGTTCCAATGTCCAGCCCCAAGCGTGTGTTGGGGAGCCTTTGTCTGCCAGGCAGGGATTTTATCCCAAGGCTCTGTTCCCAATGTTTCCTAGTGGGGAGCCCTGGGAGGGGGCGAGGGGAAGCTGCTGTTGGCGATGATTTAAGACACAAAGTGCCTTGAGCTTCCATGAACAGCTGCATTGCCACTGGCCCAGCCCTCTGCATGCCCACTGTGTCCTGGGAATGTCTCACAGCCACGGGATGAACACATGGAATCGCATTTCTCCTGACCTATCAAGGCATCTCCACAAACGGCCCCGATCCAAAGGATTTCCCTGTTCACACGATTTTCCTCCCACTGTCCCTTCTTTATAAAGTCCTTCTCCTGATTTAAATTGCTTTATCCAGGAGATAATTTTGTATCTATTAAGAGTTGAAACCTTAATTTATTGCTCCATACCTTTGGAATATAGCTGGAATCAGCACATGGAAGTGTTTGCTAGTGCTCAGTGTTCTTATTTCCTTCAGCACTGTTGAATCCAGTTGTTTTGTAGCATCCACTACAACTTTTAATGCTGTGATTTCCAAGCTGCTGTCATTGTTCTAGACTTGCCCTTCCCATTTGATTGCTGGAATTCTATTATGGATTGCTCTTCCCAGCACTGGGATCTACACTCCTGGCTTGCAGCTGAGCTGTAGAGCAGCCCCTGGCCTTGTTAAATGGAATATAAACAACAGGGCCAGGACTGGTGGGCACTTACTGGTCTCATGAAGAAATCTGGGAGTCCTGCATCAGCTCCAGGCTGCCATGTAAATAGAAATAAGGGGAATTCTGCTGCTCTGGATTGTTTGAGGTATTAAAAAAAAAATAAAAAAGCAAATAAAAACAAATCCCAAAGCCCAGAGTGAGAAGCAGCAAAAATCCTCCTTTAAAAGTCTGCTTTTAAATGACCAGGAATAAAATATGTAGGTTGTTTTTAGCTCTTTTCTGTCCTTATAAGCTTGGAGGAGAAAAATCTCTCATCAGACAAGCTTTTTTCAGTGTGAAGTTTTCAAATAACAACTGTCTTAAATAGGTTTTTTTTTTAGGGCAACTTTGTACCTCATGAATTCATAGTGCTGCCCAAAGCTCGGGGGTGTTCACACTTCCTCAGGAGAGGCTCCAAACCAGCCAAAGCAGGAGTGGTGAAACGGGTGGATATGCAAAATTATTTACACAACTCATCATTCCTGAGCCTGGAGCACAATTCCTGGCCCAGGTGAAGCTCATAGTGCATAAATATTGATAAATCCACTGCTGGGCTGGGTCCTGGTTCCTGGCTGTGCTGCACAAGCAGTAGTTTGGTTTTAACCTGTTTTAAGTAAGAGAAAACCAAGAGAACTAACAAAAAAAACCCCACCAAACCAACCTTCAAGGATGCAAAATGCCAAAAATTCGCTCTGGCCATTGAAGGCAGAGCTGACAGAGCTGGAGAAGGAGCCAGCTCTCTGAAACCATCACCCCAACATCTCCCTCCAGCAGATCTGCCCCTGCACCTCAGAACTGGAACCATTTCCAGTGCCAGCAGTGGCTGTCCTGCATTATCCACGCTCACCACTCTGCTTGGGGGTTTTCCCTGGATCTGGGAGCTCAGCTGAGCAGCCCCTTGGCTCAGTTGTGCTGGAGGCGCAGAGGACACGCACACTACGGACTGAAAGCTGAAATGTGGCAGCTGGGACAGGGACAAAGTCAGCTCTTCCTGCACAGCCAGCGGGTTTTCTTTTGCCAAGAGCTGTCTCCCTGGGCTGTGGGTTGACTCTGGATCTCCCTCAAGGGCTATCAAGGGGAGGGCTGAGCCTTTTTTCTGGTTTTGCCTGTTGGGGAGGAGTGGATGGGCTTGGTTTAACCCTTGGGTAAGGAAGGGAGCAAAGCCCAGCACCTCAGTCCTGGCCCTGAGCTGTGCCAGATCTTCCCAGCCCCCTGTGAGCTGGGGATCAGTGCAGGGCTTTGGGAGCTCATCCTCCCAACTCTGGAGGTCACTGGGATCTGTTTTCCAGCCAAACCTCCCCCTCTGAGAGGGCTCCATGCAGCCACAAGGCTCAAATGCTGGCACTCATCCATCCCAAGCTGCCATGGTGGAGAAGATGTTAATAAATTGTAAAGAATTAAGAGCTCCAAGATGACATCTCTGTGTTGGGATTATTCTTGTCTTATTTTGTGTGTTAATTTAAAAATGTCTGTTCCAGTCCAAGCACTGCACTGCTGTTGGAAGTTGCTTTTTTTCCACTTCAGGGTATTTTTGTAACTGTACAGTAGCAATAAAAGAACAAACTTGGTAGAAAAATCAGTCTGGGAATGTCTTGAAACAAACACCAAGATGGGAGCCAAAGGGGTTGAAACAACACTTCAGAAGCTCTGGCTAAGAAGGATTTTCTGCAGGAGCTCTTCAAGTTCCACAGAGCATCTCAGAGTGGCAGAGGGTGGGAAGCACCAACTCCCACTTGTCTGCACAGGCCTTAATTCCATAGGAATAATGGACCCACCACTGAAGGCCAGAGCCCAGCACTAATTCCAGTGGCTGTAGCCAGGTTACACAGGATTTGGTTCCCATCCTCACCCAGAACTTGCCATTCCTTGATGCCTCAAGATTTCTTGGGGACTGGACAGAATTCCCTCATTTTCAGCAGGATTCCCTGTGGGCGAGGGAGGTGATGGTTTTCAGGGAGTCAGAGTGGGATAATTATTTAGGAAAATACACTCTCAGAGTGACAGCCTTCCAGTGGAAATGGGACAACCCAGTTCCTCCCCACAAGGACATTTTTTGCTGCCTGGTTTTTTGTACAAATGATGTGAGGGAAGAAAAATCTTGTGCTTCCTCCTGCAAGAGCAGCCTCCCCCAGGAGCAGAGGAATTCAAGCAGACAGGAGTCACAGTGACTCAAACACTCATCCAGCCACACTGCACTCCCTGTCCTCGCACCTCAGCACTCCCCTTCTCCACTGACAGGCTCATTCTTGCTTTATTTTAATTAAAAAACCCCCAAGCAAACCAGAGCTCAGTGACAGCATCACCTGTAGAGTACCAGCTTTAAATGATCACAGCTTGTGGCTCACAGTGTTTATAAACTGCTGCCTCCAGGCTATGGAGCATTTCCATCTTCTTGGAACACCGCTTAGATAAAGATCAGCTGAGAGCAAAACAAGGGTAGCAGTCAGCAAAAATAGGGATCAGCAGGACATTTCCCAGAGGAAAAAAACCTTACCATTGAGATCAGTGGTCAAAGGCTTTAGCAGCAAAATTACCCAACTTCTTGTGTCCATTTGCTCCTCCAGTCCCTTGGATCACCACAGGGGAATCCCACGGTTCCAGCAGGAACTAAAACTTCACTTTTCAGAGCCCAAAGGCCCCGATGGCTGAACATTTCCCTGCTTGGCCGCGGGCAGGACTTTCCTGAAGGTGAGGTTGACCCTGGGGGCCAGCACCCTCCTGCGTGGGGGCAGGCTGTGGTACCAGTAGAGGTTGGTGGGGTGCTTCATGAGGAGCAGGCTGCCGTGGGCCAGCTGCAGGGTGATCCTGCCTGTGCCTGGCATCCCTCCCTTGCCCCGCTGATCCCGGTGCCGGAACACGAAATCCCGGCAGGCTCCGAAGGACACGGAGGCGATGGGGCTGCGGGGAACCAGCTCCTTCTCATCATCCCGGTGCTCCCCGATGTGGTCCAGGCCATCTTTGTACCTGTGAGAAACGAGCTTCACATCATTATTATATAGAATTTAACAGTTTAATAGAAGGACAATTAGGAGATTAAAAATAAAGTATACAGATACGGCCGGCTGTCTCTGCATTCAGCCAAGAGAGCACTCCTTACTAACAAAGGATTCATAAATTCTCATACATGATTCAAACGTTCTTCTTAAGTTTTGGATGTTTCTTTGTTTAGTTTTTAACCTGTCCCCTTCCCAATAAATCAATCTTCTTGGCTCCACCAAGTTTCACATTCCCTGATAACAGAAATGCAATAAATTCCTCCCCCAGAGCTCTGGTCACTGCTGTCTTCATCAGAATAAGATAATCTAAGAATGGAGGGGGGTCTTTGACTATCTTTTTCAGTCTTTGGGTTGTACAAAATTATTATTAAATTATTAAAACAAAAGTAGTTTTTGTTTTAATACTGTGCCATAGTTCAACATATATGCATATTATACCACTATTTCTAAGTTTCATCAATAGAAGGAACTTTATTAATACAACAAAGTTTTCTAACCTTATACATATAACATTCATTTTAATATCTGTGAAAAGCCAATAATATAATATGTATCTATAACACAGCTCTGTTAATTACTACCATCAATTACTTACTGATAACCTAATATAATAATTATTTTCCAATTAAACCAAACAAATGCTGCACAAGTTTGGGTTTTTTTTTTTGTTTCATTTGAAGAAAAGGTTGCTGGGTGCAGCTGGAAAGGGGCTGTACCTGTTGATGAGGACGAAGTTAAAGGTGTGCCCTGTTTCCGAGGTGACGCGCTCCCGGATCCGGGTCAGCACTGGGATCCACGGCTTAGGGTGGAATGTGACCCCTGAGTACGTGTAGGACAAGCCAGGGTCTCCATATGTGACCTTCTTCCTGGGAATCTTGTGCCACGTGCCAAATACGTGCAGTTTTGTCATGTCATCTGTTTAAACAACACAGGGGAAGGATCAACCCCGGCTCTGCATTGTCTCCTGTCCAATATTCTCCTGGAGCAGAGCTTCTGGGAATCTCCAAACAGGAATGAGGGTGTTCATGTCAACCCAAAAGCTGTCATCCCTGTTCCCAGGGTTTGTGTCCCAGCACAGTCAGACACTGTCTTGTTCTCCCCATCGAATGGGATGAACAGGACCAGCATCCCCATCACACATCTCACACACTGCATCTCCAGAAAATTCCATCACCACGCCAGGATCAGCCCTTGACAAACACTTCCAGTTCAGCAAAACCGACCCTGTGGGGTCAGACCTGCGTTCTTGGCTTCTCAGGCCCACGTTGTGCAAACACCAGGTGGCTGCAGAAATCTCCCAGTGCCTACCAGCCTGGGCCCTGGGAATTCTCTGGGACTCGCCTGGATGGGCTGGGCAGGGAAATGCTTTACTGGGAAGGGATAAGGGGGATCTGGAGGGGAATAGAGCTGGACACAGAAATGTTGAGGTTAGAAAGGACCAGTGAGGGTCATCCAGGCCACCCTCCTGCCCAAGCAGGGTCCCCAACAGCACCGTCCAGCCCCTTTGGGAGGCCTCCACAGCCTCCCTGGACAGCCCATGCTCCGCCACCCTCACAGGGCAGGAATATACCTTCGAAATACTCCACCTCCTTCTCCAGCTCCTGGAAGATCTCATCCGCCTCGGCCTTGCCGAAAAGGATGCGGTAATCGCAGCTGAGCCCCTCGGCACGGATCTCCCGCGGCGGCGGCCGCCCCGGGCCGGGCTCCTCCAGCCGCGGCCTCTTCCCGCCGCCGCCATCCCCCGCCTGCCCGCGGGGTAGTTTAACCACGAACCCGTCCATGGGCGGACCCGGGACCGGGAGGAGCGAGAGCCGCGATCCCGCGGGAAACGGGAGCGCGCGCCAGGGATGGCGGCGCACGGAGCCCCGCCCCCATCCCAGCTGGCCACGCCCCCAGCGCACGCGCGCGGTTTTGGCGCCAAAATCGAGTCCCACCCCCCATTCCCCTCACTCACCCCCGGCCGCTCTCGCTGCCTGCCCCGCTCCGCCGCAGCCATGATCGGGCAGAAGACGCTGCACTCCTTCTTCAGCCCCGCGCCGGCCAGAAAGCGCGGCCGCTCCCCGGAGCCGGGCGGCGATTCTGAGGTAGCGATCGGGGGGCTGAGGGAGCTCGCGGCTCTGGAGCCGGGGAGAGGGGAGGGACGAGAGGGGTCTGGTGGCGGGACGTGCGTGTCTGGCTCCGTGTGTGTGGGAGGGGGCCTGGGGGCACTGGCGGCCTTTCCTGAGGGGATGGGGCGGCGGGGGGGGGCAAAATTTCCAAACTCCCGCGCTGCTCCACGCGTGGCTGAGCTGCCAATCGAGCGGGCACGCTCCACTGCCGCCCAATGGGCGCTGACACCCTCCGTGACGTTACTGTTGCTAGGTAGAAACCTCCCCGCCAGCCGCGGCGACCCAATGGGGAGACTCGAGCGTTTTTCCCGCTCACCAATAGCGAGCGGGCGTTTGTGCTCGCGCCTGCGGGTGGCCAATGGGGGTGCGTTCTGTGTTTTGCCGCGAAACGGTCGCGTGCGGCGGGGCCGCCCCGTGGGCGGGCGCTGTCCCGCCATGGCCCGGCCTTGTCCCGCCATGGTCCGTTCCGCCATGGCCGCGCTGCTCCCCGGCCTTGTGCTCTGCCCGCCGCGCTCCCGCATCCTCCGCAGCCGCCCCTTCGCCCGCTGCTTCCAGGTGAGCGCCGCTAAGAAGGCGAAGGAAGCCGGCGATGAGGCGAGCCAGGCGCTGAGCGCGGAGCAGCAGGAGCGCATCCGCAAGAACAAGGAGGCGGCGCGGCAGCTGCTGGCGCAGCGGAACGTACCCCCGGGCTTCGGCGAGAGCTGGCGGCGGCAGCTGGCCGGGGAGTTCTCCAAGCCCTACTTCGTGGAGGTGAGCAGCGTTCCCCGATCCCCTCTCGCCCCGAGCGGCCGCTGCGGCCCCCGCTGAGCCCCCGCTGCCCCCGCAGCTGATGGCGTTCGTGGCCGAGGAGAGGAAGCGCTACACGGTGTATCCGCCTCCCGAGCAGGTCTTCACCTGGACGCAGATGTGCGACATCTGGGATGTGAGTAGAGCTGCGGGGGGGGGTCTGTCAGCTGCTCCGGGCAGTTTAAAACCGTGGAGGTGCAGGGTGGGTGCACAGAGACGTTCCCTCAGTGTTTGCTCCCTTAAACTTGGGATCCTGTGGGATGTGGATGCTCTTTGTTTGGCTCACTTATAAATCCAGCCTTCCCTTTCAGTCTGATACCAAACCGTGATTTTATTGTTTTATCGCCCTCAGACACCACAGAACTTCCTCTGATCCTTTTGATCTTTTGTTCTGGTGTTAACAGCTTAACCTAGTTCATAGTCTTTTAATCTTGAACATCTCTTGTTCTTTCACTTGATCAAAAAAGGAGTATTATTGAAAGAAAATCAGACAGCACAAGGTAATGTAATTTCCAATAAAACCTGTCAAAAATATCACAGCAAGTGTGGCATAAAGCTGAAATGGGATGAAACCTGCTTGGAAAATAACAAGGTGGTTTTTGTGACTGTGAAAATTATATTAGTTAGGTTCATTATTTTGGCAGCAAAGCCATAGGGATGCTAATCCTTAGTGTTAGGTGGGCTCTGTGCTCTTTAGCAGTGACACATCTGGGATTTAACTTCAGTTTCTTGGAGGAGTTGGTTTATGGCACTTTTTTGTCTCTATTTTAGGATAAAGCTCATTTATTAACTTTTTTCCCCACTCTCTGGGGAATAATGCTAATTCAATGGTAACCAAGGTCTGCTTTCAGGTAAAGGCTGTCATTTTGGGGCAAGATCCATACCATGGACCTAAGCAAGCTCACGGGCTCTGTTTCAGTGTCCAGAAGCCTGTTCCACCTCCCCCCAGGTATGAAAATTAGCAAAATCCCTTTTGTTCCTTAATTATTTGCAATTCTGCAGTGCTCAGGGCTGGGAGAAAATTGGTGTGAAATGGTTAGCAGCTACTTAAATTTGAGTTGTGCATCACCTGGAAGGATAATTCTGTGTAGTTTGGGTGCTATTCAAATGTAAATTTCCATTTCCAGTCTCATTAGAGCTTCCAGGCAGACACACAGAGTCCCTGCTGCCCTGCCTCTGCAAATGGCTTTATCAGCTTAAATAATAAGATTAAAATCAGTGTTCTTCTTGCCTGCTTAGAGCAATAGGTGGTGCTGCTTGCTCTTGTCATATTAAAAATCTGCTGGTTTGGTTTGCAGCTTGGAAAATATTTACAAGGAGCTCTCTGAGGACATTGAGGGCTTCACCCACCCTGGCCATGGGGACCTTACGGGCTGGGCCAAGCAAGGTGAGCTCAGAGACACTCAGTGATGTGCCCCATGTGGAGCAGAAAAGAATTTTATCTAAAAAAAATAGACCTGTGGCTGGAAATAATCCACCTGTAGGAGAGAAAATCACTTCTGAGTCCCTTAAAATGAAAATTTGCCTCATCAAGAGAAAAGTAGGTTGAATCCCAGAACGGGGTGGGTTGGAAAGGAGCTTAAAGCTCAGGGACACCTTCCACAAGCCCAGGTTGCTCAGAGCTCCATCCAGCCTGGCCTTGGGCAGTCCAGGGATGGATTAACCCTTGTTTCACCCTCTGGATGTGCTTTGTTTGCCAGGAGTGCTCCTGCTCAACGCGGTGCTCACGGTTCGGGCTCACCAGGCCACGTCCCACAGGGAGAGGGGCTGGGAGAAGTTCACGGATGTCGTGGTGTCCTGGCTCAACAAGAACCTGCACGGGGTTGTTTTCATGCTCTGGGGAGCCTATGCCCAGAGGAAAGGCAGCTCCATCGACAGGGTACAGCTCCTTTTCCTCAGTCCTTCCCTCTCCCTGGTTTTTCCCTCAGTTTGGTGGACACTAGAGGGCACTTCCTTGACGGAATTGGGAACTTTCCCTGCCTGGACTCTGTCAAATCGAGTCACCCTTCTGCTCCAGCTTAGCCTTTGCCAGAATTAAGCAAGAAAAGTGGAGCAAGTGTAAGCTCCTGTTGTCAGCAGTGCCTCACAAGGACAGAGCTGTTTTTCCTAGTTAAGGGCTCATGAATCAATATGAAATCTGCTGGTGGGATGACAGCAATTGGGAAATGCCAGGGTATTTATGTCTTTGCTTAGTGGGACAGAAGTCTTGGTCCTTGTGGCTGGTTCTTTGGGTCTCAGACTGGTGCAGGACGGGGTATAAGGGGAGATCACACCTGCCCTGGAGGAGGAACAGCCAAAACCCTGCAAATCTAACACGTGGTTTCCTCTGCCGTTCCCAGAAGCGTCACCACGTCCTGCAGACGGTTCATCCCTCACCCCTCTCTGTCAACAGAGGGTTTTTCGGCTGCCGGCACTTCTCCAAGACTAATGAATTCCTCAAGAAATCTGGGAAGAAGCCCATCGACTGGAAAGCACTCTGAGCTGGGGCTGAGGCTTGGGAGCAGCCCCTGGCTCAGGGGTTGGGGCATTTCTGAGAAACTCCTGCTGACCTGAGAATTGTTCTTTGGGTGTTTGATCAGTGAACAAGTGACCAAGTTTTCAGAGATGGTTATATTTTTGTTTTAAATGCTTATTTTTCAAGAGCATGTTGGAGTGTTTGATTGACAGCTCTGCTTTTTGCCTGGTTTAAGCAAAAAGAAAGAGCCCAAACACCAGAGTTCTGTATTAATTTGTGGCCATTGTGGCAATGGGAGTTCTATTTTCAGACTCTGGTGAAGGGATGGCAGTTCTTACTGCCAAAAGCTGCCCAGCTTTTGTACATGCCCTGCTGCCTCCTTTCCACACAAATCCAGTTTTCCTATTTAAATGGAGCTGACTCCATGGGAGGAAAAGGCTTTTGGTTTTAGCTTTTTGCTACAGATTTATTACAAAAATGGCTCCTTCAGGCTGTAAAGAAAATACATGGCCAGGAGTGCTGCTTGGTATATTCATGATCTCAAGATTTTGGGATAAATCCTCCCAACAGCCTCAGGGAGGCTGTGATCAAGACCCTTGGTAATGCTTTTGAATTTTTTGCTGGCCTTTAGACAGGAAAATCAAAAGGTTTTTTTAGGTTCTTCCCGGATATGTAATCACCTGGATGACGGGTGAGCTGTCATCATACATGGGGGATACATGCTGATGGCAGCAGTGAACTTTTTGTTCATTGACATTTCCCAGTTAATGGACTGATAGTTGCAAATTACTTCAGATCTTAATATCTTAAAAGAGGGAACTTTGTGCTTTGCCACCTTGGGAGCAAATTAAAGTTTCCACCTGCTGTTGGCAAAAACTGTTAGGACTTCCAGGAGGAAGAGGTGTTGGCTTCATACTCCTGGGTTTCCAGCCTATCTTTGACTTTGTAATTCCTTTAAAGGAAGTGAAGAACCCTTTTTTTTTTTAATAAGCCAGTTTTTACAGAATATCTTTGTAACCCTCTCTGAGGTAACACTATCACCGGTGATGTTTATACTGTCTGTGGCCTTGCTGTATATGTTGCTTGCTTGTTTGTTTCTTTTTTTTTATTTTCCCAGTGTGTGTGTTGTTTGTTTTTGTTTTTTTTTAAATAAAAATTATTTTGCTTACATGATCTTGCATTGGTACTTTAACCCAGGGAGGGAGGCGGGGTGGAATGGGGAGTCCCTGTTCCCCCCAGGGAGCCCAACCCAGGATCACGTCCTTGTCCTCGTCCCCGTGACCAGGCACAGGGCCAGGGCACCTTTGTCCCCCAAGGATCGGGTGTCCCCCTCCCTCTTCCCACCCTCATCTCCAGCAGAAGTTTTCCACACACGTTAGCAGGGAAATATTTGTGCTTGACGTGACCGTCACGTGCGAGACCCGACTGGAGC